ACATTTAACGTGCTAAATTGGAGCTTAAGGACTCCCAAATAAATTCATAGATAGACGTGGTGCCTTGAGGAAACAAAGATCTGTCAACTGAAGTAGATAAAATCAAGGTTTCATTTGATGTCACTGTCCTTTTCACATCTATCAGTTGAAAACCAATACAATAAATAGTGGCAAAGGTACTGTACATACTATAATACAGGAAACGTAACACAGCACCCAAAAAATTGAAATGAAATGACATATGAGAGTTATATAGCTTTTACTAACAAGATACAAGTAGACGTCACCATATGATGGCAACTTAGGCAGGATTTATTATTTTTATCAACAAGTGATGAGGTCTTAAATGGGACCTCATTGCTTAGTGACAACAATCTCTGAACTCCCAGCTTCAGTCATTCAACGAATGTCACAGTTGCTAAAATGTCAACTTCCTGCTGCCTTTCTACAAGCAAGGTCAGTGGGGAAGCCTGCAGGAAGTGGAAAATCCTAGGCTTCCAGGTACTTAAGTGGCTGCTCCCAGCTGGGGGAGAGAGTGAGGGTATGTGTGTGGGGGTTCAGGGAAATGCTGGGAAAGGGTGCACGTGGCAAAGTGCCATGTGGGGACTTTGTATGATGTATGAGGGAGGGTCACGGAGTGTGCCCAGGGATGTCAGAGTGGCTGCCATGATGCCAGAGCAGAAGGCATGGGAGAAGGTGCGTGGGTGGAAGGGACTTAAACCGTAACAGTATTCTTACTCTGCAGCTGGACAGATCATAGATTCACCTTTCACTCTCAATCTCAGAGAGAATAGAATAGAATAGAATAGAATAGAATAGAATAGAATAGAATAGAATAGAATAGAATAGAATACAATAGAATACAATAGAATACAATAGAATAGAATTCTTTATTGGCCAAGTGTGAGTAGACACACAAGGAGTGATGAGAAGATTAATAGTGATAGTAGTGCAGACTTTGTAAATGGTTGGACAGTGTTGAGGGAATTATTTGTTTAGCAGAGTGATGGCATTCGGGAAAAAACTCTCCTTGTGTCTAGTTGTTCTGGTGTGCAGTGCTCTATAGCGTTGTTTTGAGGGTAGAAGTTGAAACAGTTTATGTCCTGGATGTGAGGGGTCTGTAAATATTTTCACAGCCCTCTTTTTGACTTGTGTGGTATACAAGTCCTCGATGGAAGGCAGGTTGGTAGCAGTGGGTTTTTCTGCAGTCCTAATTACTTTTTGAAGTCTGTGTCAATCCTGTTGGGTTGCAGAACCAAACCAGTCAGTTAGAGAGGTGCAGATTACAGACTCAATAATTCCTCTGTGGAACTGGATCAGCAGCTCCTTGGGCCATTTAGCTGAGTTTACACTATCTGAAAAATTCTGTGATACTTCTCAGTTCCATTTATATGCTGTACGCTTTTGTTTAAATTCTAACTCCAGGTCACAGCAAGTTCATGTCCCTAACTGAGATCAGCAGGGTCTCTGCCTCAGTTGGTTTAAGTCACATTTATCAGTGGAGAAATCCAGCTGTCAGTCAGTTTTTGGTGTTTGGTCTTCTCAGGTCGTTTGGCAACTGGTCTATCTAATCAGGGGTTCTGAAAAGAAGTATACTTTGCCTTAAAATTAACTCTGCCTCACTTAACTTTTTGGTTCTCTTGTTGTGGGTTGTGATGGATGGTAAATTCATGATCCAATTTCTCAGATAAGAGGACCAATCATACAGCTATATTTAATTTTTTTTTTAAAAAAAATCCCTTTTCCTTGCTAACTGGCCAGGTTCATGCCAAGCCTCCCCTTTCTACATTGACTTATAGTGATTACCTTAAAAAGCCAAAGTACATATATTAACAGATAACAGATAATCAGAGTTGGAAGGGACCTTGTAGGTCATCTAGTCCAACCCCCGTGCAAGCAGGAGACCCTGCACCATTTCTGACAAATGGCAGTCCAACCTCTTCTTGAAAGTCTCAAGTGATGAAGCTCCCACAACTTCCGAGGGCAAGCTGTTTCATTGGTTGATTGTTCTCACTTTCAGAAAGTTTCTCCTTATTTCCAGGTTAAATCTCTCCTTGTTCAGTTTCCATCCATTATTCCTTGTCTGGCCTACAGGTGCTTTAGAAAATATCTTGACCTCTTCCTCTCTGTGGCAGCCCCTCAAATATTGGAACACTGCTATCATGTCTCCCCCGGTCCTTCTCTTTACTAGACTAGCCAAGCCTGCCCAGGAACCTCGGCTATCAAGTTCAGTCCTTTTTGGAACCCCTGATTAGAAGCTTCTTGGATGAGAAGCAAAATGTTTTCAAAGAAAAAACAAAGAAAATCCAGTTGCCTTTTGGAATAGCACCCTTGGGAGATGCTCAGAAAGACATCCTCAGGCAAGGATGTTAACCTTCAATAAACCCATCCACATCTTTCCAATGACCAAAGAGGGGAAATAAACCTTAAGGTGATGATAGTATAAAAAACAAAAGAATTAGCTAAGTCTCTTCCTCAGTAATCAAAGTCCCATTTATCAGCTGAGAGATCCAACTGTCAGTGAAGTTTTCTTCTTTCATCTTCTTGCGCCAATCAGCAAACAGTCTATTTAATCAGAACATCTTAAAAGAAATATAATCTGGAGAACAATTTTGCCTGTTGCCAAAAAGCTTTCTTTATAAGGAAATGCTACATTTCTTCAAAATTTAACTCTGTCTGCCTTGGCTTTTGATTCCCTTGCCCTAGGAGGCTCAAGCCAGCTCTCTCTCTTCTACACTGACTGTTGGAGATTATCTTAGACAGACAAGGATCACATCTGGTATCACATGGTGCTACATTCTGATTAGACAAGGCACAGAACAAGTGTGCATCTTTTAGAGTTCCCTTTTCATGCCAGAAGCAAAAGCTCTTTATATTTTCTGCAGGAGATTGATCTTCACCTGTTATGCCGAGCCCTGTTCTTTTTATAAAAACACCTCTGAAGATTTCTGCTCAGGGTCTGCTTCCAGATATATCCAAATCTTCAGACAATTCTTTCAACCTTGTAACTCAAGATTGGGTGGATGAACTTCCCTTCTGTCTAATAACTACATCGACATTGGACTTAAAGACATTTTGCTTGCGGGTCCTCCCATCCTCAATTACTGCAGATGCCAAGTGTGAAACAATAATCTTCCACTCACTAACTTTGAAGAGTGTGGACTCAGGTATTCAGGTATGTTACAATTTTGGAAGGTTTAATTAGACCCGGGGATATGTAAACAGGATAATAGCCACTGCTTCAGTGCCCGTATATTTATTTCTCTAACTGATATTACATAAAAAATTGTTTCTTGTTATATTTATATGTTGACTGACGCATTACTCTCAGTTGAGGTTTCCTGGTTTGGACTCATTTCCCAACCTACTTTTAGCCATTATGACAGAACAGTACAAATATAAACTGTTTAGAATCCAAGCTCAAGGGAATAAGATGTTGACCCATAATTGATTTTCAATAATACAAGTATAAACTGTCTGGAATTCAAGATCAAGGCAGTAAGATGTTTCTTTAGTTTGTGTATAATTGTTTTTCATCAGTTTTGGCTCTTCAGTTCTAAATTCATCCAATTTTTGTGTGTATCAACTGGTAAATTTCTAGTTAATCACTGAAGGTTTTCACACAAAAATACAGGACATCTTCGATGCCTATCTCATGAAGGAGAGAACCAAGCTAGAATTAAGGAGAAATTTTCTGACAATGAGAACAATTAACTAGTGCAACTGCTTGCTTTTAGAAGTTGTAAGTGGTCCATCACTGGAGGGGGTTTTTTTAAGAAAGAAATTGGACAGCCGCTTGTATGAAATGGTACAGCATCTCCTGCTTGAGTGGGGGTTGGGCTAGATGACTTCCAAGGTCCCTTCCAAACCTGTTATTGATTTTATGTTACTCAAGTAGACCAAAACAGGTAGTGTATGTGTATATTCTATTTTTTGGAAGTATCTGCAGCTCTAAAAATTTTCAAGCTGCCCATTTCTCCCTTAGCAGGAATTTCTCCCTCATATCATCTCCCAACTCCCAGTTTCAAGTCATAGATATATTTTCTTATGATTATCTCTTATTATCTCTCTCTTCAGGCACCAAATCAGCATAACAAGAGGAAGCATTGGGAAAAGGTTTCCTTACATAATTACTAGTTTTTTCTTTGTAGCTCACATGGGGGATGTTGAATGTATCAGAGGAATGGTGGCAAAATAGCAGAGGGGACATTGCTGGGTTTCAGTACAGTGAAACCATCCAATGCAATCCAATATCAATTACATTTTCAGATATGTGTTGAGAGGCATGGATGGAGCAACGCATAAGTATTTCCCCCCCCCTTAGGTGTGACAATAAACATTTCAAGGTGATGGCTCACTACTGCAGCCACATCAGTCAAGCATTCACAGGGAAAATAGATTAACAAAACGACAGAGTTGGATTAGAGTCATCTAATCCAGTTCACCGATCAAGCAGGATATCCTATATTATTCCAGACAAATGGTTTTCCAAACTCTTCTTCAAAAGCTGCAGTGTTGGAGCACTGAAACTTCTGAAGTTCTATCAGGAAGTTTCTCCTTAGTTCTAGGTTGCTTCTCTCTTTGATTAGTTGCCATCCATTACTTCTTATTCTGCCTTCAGGTGATTTGGAGAATAGCTTGACTCCCCTCTTCTTTGTGGCAGCCCCTTCGATCGTGGAAGTGATGATAATATTGGTATTACTTAGGACAGGGGTCTCCAACATGTGGTCTGTGGCTCAGTGATGGTCTGGAACCCGCCCACAGAAGTCGTGGGTGACCACATGCACATGAGTGTGAAGCTGCATTTGTGAAAGCCCCACACTTATGCACGAAACCACCCTCTCTCCCCGCCCCCCCACTGCCTCTGCTGGTCCCCTGAGCCAGAAAGGTTAGTGACCACTGATTCAGGAGACAGGAATGACTGAATCCACTCTTGTTCCTTTTCTTCAGATAGGAGCTTCTACTCAAGAAGATTGCCAGAATTTTACAAAAGTTTAATGATGAATTCCAGCCTGGAATATCTGGATGCTACACAGAACTATTATGGGTATACCAATGAGAGTGACTCATATGAGAATGCAGAAGAGATATCCCTTTCTTATTTAGGAGCAATTCTTTGGCTACTCATTACTTTAATTACCTGTTGTATTGGGTTTGTGGGCAATGGCTACATCATTTGGTTACTTGGCTTCCAGATTAAGAGAAACAGTTTCACCACATTCATCCTTCACTTGGCCATTGCAGACTCTGTGTACCTGACATCTGTATTTATATATTATATTGATACATTTTTTACCAGTCTTCAAGCAAGGGAAACATTCGATCTCCTCTGTATCTATTTCATGCGCATGACGTATACCAATGCAAACTTTCTTCTGACAGCCATCAGCATGGACCGGTGTGTGGCTGTCCTCTTCCCAATCTGGCATCGCTGTTCCCGGCCAAAACATTTGTCAACCACAGTGTGTGTCCTCCTGTGGATCTCCTCTTTCCTCCTGTGTGGAATTATGAGCATTACAAAAGTCTTTGGAAATTACAATCTGCTCCAATTCCATTTCCTTGTGACTGCTATAGTTTGCCTTCCATTGACCACACTCTCTACCATGGTCCTTTTCATCAAAAATGTGTCTTAAATCAAATCAGAAGAATCAGGGTCAGCTTTTACTGATGATTTTCATTACTCTTCTCTGTTTCCTCATTCTTGCTTTTCCATTTTGTGTCCTTACAGTGATTATTAGTTTTTCCAGTACCAAAGCTTACAATAAACTGGAACTTTGGTTTGCATATAGTATACTATTTTCCTGCCTAAACAGCAGTATTAATCCCGTGATCTATTTTCTAGTTGGGAGAAAAAAAAGAGCTCAGACCAAGGAAAGCATGAAGGTCATTTTGCAAAAGGTCTTCAAAGAAGCAGAAGTGACTGGAGGGAGATAGAAGAGCTCAAATCCACCTACAAGATCTCTGTGCTTCTTTCTGAGTAGCAATGAATGACTTGCACTTGAGGCTGTTATCTTATAGGTGGGAACAAATTTCGTTCAACATATTGGCTCTTTCATCTTAATAGACTTATAGAAAATTACATTTGAAGAGATGTCTACATCAATCCACAATTAATGCTGTGCAGGACATGAATTGCATGACATTTATAAAATACTCATCTTTTTTAAAATATATTTTTATTAATTTTCTTTTTTTTACATCGTAAAACATCATGGTATCAACAACGTTCTTGGCATCTATACAGGATTTTGGTTTAAATATCATAATACATTATATTGCATTTGTCTACTACTAAATAATATCTTTAGCTATAATTACTATTCTTATATCTTTATATATAATTATAAATTTTTATTTTACTTTCTTAAGGATTGTTTCAATTAACATTTTTGTCTCACTTCTTGGTTCTGTTTGTTAGCCATTTATACCAATTGTTCCAAATTGTAAAGAATTCAGAGTCATCTTTTTCTTTCAATTTTATTGTTAGCATATTCATTTCAGCACTTTCTGTTACTTTCTGTATTATTAGTTCTTCATTGGGGGTATTTGGTGTTTTCCATACCTGCGCAAAGGCTATTCTGGTGGCTGTTGTAATATGTAACACTAAGTATTTTACTTCTTTCGGTAGTCTTTCTTTGATGATTCCCAAAAGGAACGATTCCAGTCTGAGCTCAATCTGATAGCCAGTGATCTCTTTTAACCAATTTTTAATTTGAATCCAGTATGTCCTGGCCTTGGGGCACATCCACCACATGTGATAAAATGTACCATCAACTTTTTTGCACTTCCAACATTTGGGACTCATGTTGGAGTAGATTTTTGCCAATCACATTGGAGCTAAATACCATCTATAAAACATTTTATATATGTTTTCTTTGTATGCTGCAAATACCGTTAACTTATAATTTTTGTTCCATATTTTCTCCCATTCCTCTAATTCTATAGTGTATCCAAAATTCTGTGCACATGCAATCATTGTACTTTTGAGTATTTCCTCTTCCATTTTGAAATCTAATAAATATTTATATATTTTAGTTATAAGTTTTTGTTCCAGTCCCATTAATATTTTATCTAATTGGTTCTGCCCTTTGTCAAATCCAAAATCTTTTGAGTCTTTTTTATATTTATTTTGAATTTGCAAATATGGCCACCAATTGATTATAATTCCATTTTCCTTCTGTTCTTGGTTTGATTTTAATTTCCCTTGACTATCTAATAATTCTTCATAGCTTACCATTTTCCATAGGTCTAATCTATTTGGATGTATTATGGCTTCCATGGTTGACAGCCATCGTGGGATTTCCATATAGTGTTTACCTTTGATTTTTT